ATTTCTTTTTCATGGCGGAACAGACTCCTTTATACGAAATACGAAATATCAACCTTACACTGTACGTTCTTCATGGGAATATAAGAAGAAATGCAAGACTGCATTGTTTATCAAGCTCCTTGTTTTTACATCTGAATCCAGAATTTGGTGCATGAAAAATATGATCATCGCAAGATGACAGTTTTTGACTTGCCTGATTTGGGCTGAAAGAATATAATTGAGTTTTCATAACGCTCAATCCATGAATTAAAATGTTTATTAAATCAACAGGAAATCTACCGCACACTATCATAAAATCTAACTGCAAGTCAGTTTGTTGAAAAATTGCAATATATAATTAGATGTGTTTTTTTTTGCTGTTAATAAACGGTGAGAAAAGTAAGACAATCGTCTTTCACTGACCGGAATCCGTACAATTATAGCAACAATCAGAGAATGAGATTCTGATCATTCGAACTGTACTCAAAGTAAGTTAAATTACAATTTCTGTTATAATTATTGCAATCATATTTACCAATATATCGTACGCCATAACTAATGCAATACACAAGTAGGTAAATTATCAACACAAAAGATTTGATATGATTTACCCTTTTTCATTTTCTATTCAATTTATCTATTCTAATGCATAAATACATACTTTTACAACTATTAATATTGTTTCCATGTATCTATATGATCTTTTTTCCCTTCCATATTTGTAATAATTATTATGCCTATATTTTGTAAAACAAAATATTCATATACCATGTGAATGAAGTTTTGTAATAAATACAAATACAGTAATCTATGTAGGTCACTGAGACAAGCTTTGTATGACAGTTAAACTCGGACTTTAAAATTTCTAAGCAAATTCCTACAGAAGTGCTAATCATTGAGAATTGGTTTCTTCTATGAACCTTTTCAAACAACTATACATCTTTGAAAGGGACTCTTATAAATAGTCAATGAGATACCAGTAAGACTTTGTCACGTTTCACGTTCTAGCACGTCATAGTATCCTTTAATCCATATACAGGTCCGTATTTCAAGGTATAATTTTATGTAAAGACGAACACAAAATGACCTTAGATGGATGTTTTTATGGTAATCAAACAACACAACCAGGATAAAATGACGAATTACCTTGCGGTTGTAACTGATATAATGCTGAAGTTACTTTATACTCTTTGTTTAAAGGAAGTGCGGCTCACATCCTAGATTCTTAAGTTGTCTCACCATAGTATGATAGTCATTTACACTTACGATATATCTTCCCTTTTAAGAGTTAATTTCCTGTATTAGCGATTAGCGAATGAATAACGCTGGAAGAACAGCATTCCTGAATCATACACATCTCTACCGTATAGATAAGGGATTCCATTCAACTACACGTTTTTTTTTCTTCTTCTTTTGAATGTAGAGCTCTCCTTTACAGCTTTAGTCATCATATTATTCTTACTAAAGTGAATTGAGTGAATACAATCATAAAGCTAATATTGCAGTGTTCGTAATAGTCATATTTGCCTAGTGTTCGGATTGATTATATTTCTCTATTGGACTGTGACTAACATCAAACACGACTTTCGGACGTTTAACATAGCATTGTATTATCTCTGAGATATGACTGTTGAATCGAATAGCAATACTGAAACAGGTAAACGGATAGTTTGTTTCATTCGTATCCAGACAGACATTATGTATAAACACCTGTACTTCAAGTGGCGATTGTTTTGTAACATGTACAATTTGGGTCGATTAGTAAACTTTACTCAGTCCTTTTGACTCTATACAATAGAAGACCTATCGAATATCAGATTATGCACAATGCCTGTCACAGAATGATGAAAGGGAGAGAAGTCATCGAAATGGAGACGAGATGATGCATCTTATTAGTATAGCTAAACCTGATCAAACTCATTAGTAAAATATATCTCATCTCTCTCTCTCCCTCTCCTCCTCCCCTTCCTCCCTCTTCCTTTCTCTCTCTCTCTCTCTCTCTCTCTCCGCTCTCTCTCTCTCTCTCCCTCTCTCTTTCTCCGCTCTCTCTCTCTCTCTCTCTCTCTCTCTTTCTCCTCTTTCCCCCCCTCGGTCTCTCTCTTTCTTTCTAATTCTCTCCATCTCTCTCTCCCTCTTTCTTTTCTCTGATTCTATTTTTTTCTCTCTGTCATTCTCTTTCTTGCTGTTTCTCTCCCCTTTTCTCTGTCCCTCTCATAGGCTTCTGTCTGTTATCTCTCTCTCTCTCTCTCTCTTCGCCCTCGCTTTCTTTCCATTTCTCCCGCTCTCTCTCTCTCTCTCTCTCCCTCCCCTGTCTCTCCCATTTCTCTGTCTGTCCGTCACCCTTTGTCTGTAACTCTCTACTTCTTTCTTTCTTCAGTTTTTCTCGTTCCTCATTTTCTCTTTTTTAGGAGAGACAAAGAAGACAGTTAGTAGAGAGAAAAGACGAGGTGGGATAGATACGCGGAAAATAAGGAACATCGACAATCAGAAATAGAAAGGAGAGAGATGGGAGAGAGAGAGGGGGAGGGGAAGGAGAGAAAGAGAGCGTCGATGCCACTAATTTTCGTGTTCTAAAGCGAGCATGCATGCCTATAAAATGTAACAATCGATGCAGTGAGTATGAAACAATATTTTGTCGCATCGTGTGCATCTGAAAACATAATATAGAAGTATCGATTTAACCCTCATTTTCTGAGATATAGCTATTGAAATCCCCCGCTTTGTTCCCCTTGCATGTGATGAGTTACTTTCAGAGTTTAATCAGTATATTTCAAAAGGATAGTGACAATAGATAAAAGCATAGCGCTTGTCTGTTTTATGGTATTGATGATCATGATAATACACGTAAAGACCGATAAGTACGTCTTTCTTTCTTTTGTTCTTTGGAACTCAAGGACTATACAATTCTGTTTTCTGCCATTGATAGTTCCTCATATACATGCGAGGAATCTGTATATTTCAAAAGCCTATTGACAAAGTGGACAAATGCGAACAATCACAACGACATGATTGAGCAGACCATATGTATTGGGTATATACATTACACGGCAGGTATAGACTGATATTTGTTCAGTGATTAAAGGTAATACAAAGTTTTGGGAAATTTTGAAAATTGGGTGGATAGTGATTCTTTACAATTTTGATATATTTGGATGCCTCTGTGGATGTATTATAAGCTCTAGAAAATTTAGCCCCTAAAACACTTCTGCTTTCGAGAAAACTTGAATATAAAAATTTACCGGTGCTCCCGGTAAATTTTGAAAAAGTTCAAATAGCGCATACGGCCGTACAATGGTAGCTGCGACCATGAAAATCTCAGAATATGTAGTTGTGATATATAATTTCCGAACGGGATAAACTAATCGGTAGATTCTAGTCAAGAAAACATTGTTTTATAGCTTAATTTATAATCTTGACCTTGAGAGGGAGTTATACAACATAAAGAGTTTATTATTTACAATTTCATAACTTTAGACTCGATTTCATCCGCGACAACGATAACTGAATATTGTAGGACCGCATATGCGTCCAACATGTTCATTTGAACCAAATTCCTGACCCCATACCAAAACTTTGTTTTACCTTTAAGGTTATTCCCTTTTGAGGAAATAAATTGATGTTGACCATGGATATGACTTCACTCACAAACGGGAATTTCTGATAAAATTTCATTCGAAAAAAACTACGGCTCAGTATTTATTACTTCCCTGTTTTATTTTAATTGTCATAGAAACAAGCATATCAAAACAGAAGAAAATGATTAGACATGCGTGTATGTCTCGTCACGTTTGTAACATTATATACATTATATGCTTCATTTTACAAATATTTCCCTCTACGTTACTGTTTCAATTGTCCTTCCCTTTACATATCTCATCTTACCCATATCAATCTCATATTTCTAAATTCAATTTAGACAGATGCAGAAAACCAAACATAGACATTCGTGTGAATTTGAAGAGAGAAAAAACAATCAGTTTTTGTTGAAAACATTTGTTTCCTTTTGCCAACTGGCCAAACATTGCAAAATAAAAGGAATTGAAACTAGATTTTGGCTGTTACAAAGATTGGTATTAATATTACATAATTTACTCGCCACAGTTGTTGTTTGTGTGTGTGCTGTATCATGTGCATATTTAGGAATTGTGAGTCATATTGAACAAAGAAAGGGAAAAGACAGAGAGGAGACGAGAGTTGGGCAAGAGGGATATGGGTGAGAGAGAGAGAGAGAGAGAGAGAGGGGGAGAGGAGAGAGAGAGAGAGAGAGAGAGAGAGAGAGAGGAGAGAGAGAGAGAGAGAGAGAGAGAGAGAGAGAGAGAGAGAGAGAGAGAGAGTGAAATTGAGATATGGTCTTGCAAGAAAATTACAAGAACCGGATCCTGACAGAGATGTTGTTAAAGATAGATTACTATGATTACCATGCACTCAAATCAAAATCTTATCCATTCTTAGACAATGAATAAAAAATACTGCATTGTCTTTATGTCATCTTCTAAAACTTGTCTTCCTTGTAAATACAATTTATTTGTAGAAGTGGATCGCTGTTTCATTCCAATGATAGATTATTGTCCGAACCTCGCGAATCTTCTCATTCTATTATATCCCAAGTTGGCCACTCAATATTCAAATTTGCATTAAAAAAAAAATCTTTTAATTGAAATCCAACTACCACATAAGTCTGTGAATATTGATGTGCATCCCCCCATTCTTTTTTTCTTCTTCTTTTTTCTGTCTTTTTTCCCTTTTACCAATATTTTGTTCCTCCATATTTGTATTATTATGTATCTTTTGAGGGTAGTCATACTATCGAGTTTTGCTTATTTTGTCCACCCTCCTGTTTGATGTTTTCGATTAGTTACAGCCAGCCTCACTTTATTCTACATATATTCTTTTGTCATGTGTAAATTTGCAATATTTGTTTGTTATATATTTGTAAAAATGCAAAAAAAGAAAGAAAATGAAACAGAAATAAATAAATCAAAATCAATCAAAATCAAATAGAGATCAATGGAGATACTTACCGAACATAGGATATCACTATGCAATAGCAGGTAACCGTCATCATAGATAGACCAGATAGAGAAGCTCATACTCGTTATGGTTACGCCCAGATCCACGATAATTAGATTCAGAATCAGGAGGTTGTGAAAGTTCTTTCTCAATACCTGCAAGTCAAACATTCAGGTAATTTTCAATCATTTTGCACTTTAAAAAAAATGCCAATTGGGGCTCTTGCGGTTAACACGCGTTTAGGGGGCAGGAGTATTCAAGCCACCTGGCTACTCCACTAGTAATAATTATCATTGTCCATACTAATTCATTGCAGGTTTAAACGTATCGAATCGGGCAGAAAATTGCCTTAGGATGTAGGGGGTATACTCTTGCATTCAGAGAAGAAGGTCCAGGGCCAGAGAAACCCCCGATGGAAAGTAAACGGATGCCAAAAGGGCGGCCTGGAAACGAAATTCGCTCCATTTTAATGTCTGAAAAACCCTAAAAAGGTTAGTTGATATTTACTCCATCTTCCTAAAAAAAAATGGAGCCCCACCCGCAGGCTTAAATGTATGAGATCTTAGGATGTGGAGTATACTCCTGCACTCATAGAAATAAATCCAGGGCCAGGGAAAACCCCGATAATGACAAGCAGGGGCGTAGACAACGGGGGGGGGGGGGGGGATGAGGGGGATGCATCCCCCCACCTCACAAGGTGGGGGGGATGGCATGTACAATCATCCCCCCCCCCCCCAGGTTTTGGGGAATGATATTTGCTTACTTAATAAGTCATAATGATGATAATAATAGTAATAATAATAATGATAACAATTATAATATTAACAATAATAATAATTATGATGATGATAATAATAATCCTCATCATTATTGTAATTGTGTTTATTGTTATTAGCCGCATTCACACGGTCAAAGCCAATTCAGACGGTAAAAAAAAGAAAATCTTACAAGTATTTTGTGGTTATCTTGTGGTTTGGAAACCACAAGATAACCACAAGATTAAACAGGCGCGGATCTACGGGGGGGGGGGGTTTAGGGGGTTTAACCCCCCCCCCCCCTTGGGCGGTCCAAAAAACAAACAAAACAAAAAAAAAGGGGAAAAAAAAGAAAAGAAAAAAAAGGAAAAAAAAGAAAGAAAAAAAAGAAAGAAAAAAGAACGCACGCTGGAGAGAAACCCTTTCAAGTGCAAATATTGTGAAAAGATATTCAACTCATCTGGTAACTTAACCAAACACATGATAACTCTGGATATAACTGTGTATTTAACTGTTACTTGATTTAAAAAGACGTTATCATGCACTGCTTTTTATGGTCTCCATTGTGTTAATAGATGCCAGGAAAACATCACTTACGGGGTTCAAATAAACACCCCAAAAAAAATCGGGTCGCCGCTTCGCGGCTCGTGGACGATGCTCCGCATCGTCATTATTTTGGTCACCCCCCCCCCCCCCTTAGCAAAAAGCTAGATCCGCCCCTGAGTCATCCCCCCAGGTGTACGAACCTGTCTACGCCACTGATGACAAGCCTTCTTGAATATTGATACTAAAATTGCGATGGGAAAGGCTTGAACAGAAGCTCTCAGAACACGCATATTTAAAGCACGTCATTGTTCTGATCATCAGAACTCTAAAAAAAAAAATGTCCAAGTGCAGGCTTTCAAATCAAATTAACTGTGGTTAGATTTGATTGCCTTTTGTGTACTGGGTATCACATTGTATAAGCAAATGTGTACATTATACAGTTTGACAAGTACTGGTGGAAAAGAAACCGCTAATCAATTTATAAGACTTCTCTCTCTCTCTCTCTCTCTTTCTCTCTCTCTCACTCTCTTGCAAAGTGAAATGTATTCTTAGACAAATATTAAATGACATTCACTCCATAGCACTTTAATAGCCATCATGCAAAGCAGCATGTTCCTGTTTACTATCTGTATACTCTTTTATAGTCAACTTGGTCAACCTGGTGGATTTCAAGCGAGTATTGTTTGAGAAGTTGTGCAATATTCAACGTTTTCAACCAAAATAGCAGTAGCTAAATTCTTTATCAATGATCTACCATTAAGTTAAAAGTTTTGGAATACAAAAATAAACGTGTAAATACGCTAAACCCCAGAAACAGTCGCTTTTGTGAGATGAAAAGAGATAATTTTAAAATACTATAATTTTCTCTTTTTAATTTATGGAAAACGCGCAGACAGAGAAATGAATAAATGCAAGCAATCATAGTTTTCCAGTTTGTCTGAGATTTTTTTTAACAGCTAGCTTTCATTGATTTTGCGTCATAGCCCAAAACAAGGTAATCAGTATATAACAGAATTTGAAGTCTTAAATTATTCCTCAAACTAATTATCAATTATCCTTAAAATACTTTTTAAAGTCACGATTATGCCAACCTAAAAATTAAAATGTATGAAATTAGAATTTAGTCAATATTCTTATGATAAGAAATAGATTTAAGAAGATTTTTAAAAAATGACTCACTTTATCCGTCAGAATAGTGGTCATTGCCATCAGATTTGCAAAGAGCGCCCCAACAAAAATGAGTACCATAGTGATTCCCTCAATGATGGCTACAGCTGATGACGGGGCGTGATCAACACTCAGACCTCGATCGTATGGCGACATCGAAGCATTCTCGACATCTTCGAAGTCTCCCATCATCGTCGTAAAACTTGTGTTTAGCTCCATGTCGGATGGAGGAGTTAGAATCGTCGACATTTTTACCCCAAAACACCGATGTGCTGCCTATAATCTGTTTCGTGTAATCGAAGATTCAATCAGTCAAAACTAATGATGCAATTATTTGATTTCCCTCTTGAAGCAACTAGTATTGAATTCAGGAATGCGGATTTTGAAATAACTTGATGCTGTGCAGGCGTCGAAGAAGAATTTAATGTCTTTACCATCGCACTGTCTCTCTCTACACGTCCTGTCAAGGCAGAATCTATTTCGCGAATGACGTTCTTCATACATGGACGCGATGTCATAGTTACTATAAGCTCATCTGAGTTCCCGCCAAAACTATTTTTTCTAATGGTATATCAAGCATAAATGGTCTTTTTTAATACAAAGTCTTGCATAATTTCATCACTGGCTTTGAGAGCCTTTGTATCACATTTCCCTGTATATTTGCTGGTTAGGGTCTCGGTTTTCATTGGGTATCACTTTTCAGGATCCATGAAGTCATAGACAGTGCGAATCCAATAAATAAAACCAAACAGTTGGTTTATCAAGCATAAATAGTCCTTTTTAATATAAAGTCTACATAATTGTATCACTGTCTTACCGCAACGCTCCTTATACAGTTAATTTTCTTCGAGAGAAAATTATTTAGTTATCATTAAGAACAAGATGATTGTGCTTTGATAGCTTTTGTATCATCATATTTCCGTGTATATTTCCTGGTTCGGTTTTGTTTGGGTATCCCGTTTCAGGATTCAGGAAGTCATAGTGTAAAACCAATTAATGAAACTAAAAAACAACTACCAGACTACACACTTAACAGAGGACCTGGTAATCATTGTAATAGATGCGCTGTAAAGAAGCTGTTTCGGATAAACTGACAAGGTGATTTTACTCTATAGAATTGCAGATGTCTTCTAGCAACAGTAGCAGCATTCAAAGCGGAACAGATATCGGCACCGTGTTTTTAGAAACCTAGCTATGTCTAACCAGAACTATGGAACAATCTCCCAGAGTCTCTTAAATGTTGTCCTTCATTACATCATTTTAAATCCAACCTAAAAACATAACTGTTTCGATCATATGCCAGGCTTAAATCATAAAGTAAAAATGTAAATTTGCTAATTGATTTGATAATTATATGTCATAAACGATGAAAGCTCAATATTTTTCGTGTCTTTCCTCTTCTCTCTCTCTCTCTCTCTCTCTCTATCTCTCTCTCTCTCTCTCTCTATCTCTATCTCCCTCCCCCTCTCTCTCTGTCACACTCTCTTTCGTATCTAAGCGCGTAGAGACATTATGTAATATGCGCTATATAGAATTGAACATTATTATTGTTATATAAGCAGCATCATCACGAAGATAGGATATTGATCTTAGAACAAACCGAGTATGGTTTCATCCTTATCAATAAGCATCTGTTCCCACGCCTGATTGAAACTTGGAGTAAAATTAATGGACTCCTGAGGAGTTAATGTGGGATACAGAACTACGAGTATACAATGAAAACAAACATGTAGGCATGGGTAGTGATATATAGAGTTTCTGATCTTATCACGCTAATTGGAATGAAATCGATTGAAGAAGATTAGTGGCGTATCCAGGATGAGGAAAAGCTGGCGTAGCCCCGCCCCTCTTTTCTAGAGGCCAGTGTAAGCATTCAGGTTGCGACGATGTAACGATAAGAGGGGCTGCCCATATTGAACCCCATTTGAATTTGAATTGGTATGGGTCTGCTACAGGCGGAGCTGTATAAATTGAATTACGCCCTCTCACCCCCATGAAGATTCTGCCCCTCCTGTTTATCAATATCTTAATATGCCACTGAAGATCTTATTATGATTGTGTTAATCAGGATGCAATTATTTGTCTATTAGCTGAGTTCAGTCAAATGCAAGATTGTTATGGTTTGTTCAGCAGCACTTTGAATTCTAGCTCGGCAGCCCAGTGCACTTTGATCAAACGAACGAGGTACCAATATCTGAGCAATATCCCTCTCATCATCTTTCTCCAATCTTCATGATTTTCTACCTCCATCCTTGCTCTTTTATCTTTCATCTATATATCGTTCATTTTCAAAATGTTGTAAACCAACGATGATGTATATGGTTATGGTGATAGATAAATGATAAGCCAATAAAATATCAAAGGCACCCCCGCGTTAACGTCATGGTAGAACTTTATAATTATTTTTACATTATGCATTTAAGGGTCGTAGTAGAGGTAGGATTGAAGAACAGGTAGGGTGGTGGTAGAGATAGGATGGTATAGGGGGAGTATAGTGTTAGAGGCAGGATTGTAGTAGAGGTAGAATGAAAGAACGGGTAGGGGGTTGGTAGGTTTCAGGATGGTAGAAGAGCTAGGATAGAAGAACGGGTAGGATTGTTGTACACGTATAGTCCTGTAGAAGTTTTTCAGACCTGGAAAAAATGATAAGTACAAGGTTTTTTTGTTGATTTGTATTCTAGATGGGTATTGAAGTAAATTCAGCTTGGTTGCCAGCTTGGCAACCTTGAGCAACTTTTTTAATAGCCATATTAGCATAATCATCTAATTAGCATAATGCAATACAAATGTTGCTAATCTCAATCCAGGAATCCTGAAAACATGGATAATACGACTTTTGAAGGGTTTTCTATGACGAGAAATTCATTTATGACACCAGTTTTTTATTCCAAGTAATGTAATTGTCTTAAGCAGCATAATTAGCATAATTATGTACAATGTATGGACTTCATTGTCATTGTTTATCTATAAAGCCTAAAAATGGTGCAATGCAACATTGTAAATCACTTTTGAAAGACTAATCATTAATTCATGAGAAGATATTCCATGTATATGTAGTATAATTAGCATAATTAGCATAATATTCCAATTAGCATATATGTGCAATATGTAATAATGTTGCTAATCTCAATTTAGGAAGCCTGAAAATATGGATAATAGGACTTTTCAAGGGTTTTCTATGACGAGAAATTCATTTATGACACCAGTTTTTTATTCCAAGTAATTTATTGTCTTTAATAGCATAAATAATATATATGTACAATATATGGACTTCATTGTCATTGTTTATCTATAAAGCCTAAAAATGGTGCAATGCAACATCGCAAATCACTTTTGAAAGACTGGTAGGGGTAACAAGAAAAACGTGATATACACCCAAAATACCAATTTTAAGATTTAGCTTACACCATAAGAAATATTATCGCAAAATATTGGGTAATATATATTCTGTGTGTAGTGTTCAGAACACTAAGTGGTAGGCTACACAGGTAAAACCTTTGAGAGTGAACGCCGAAAAATAGGGGGGGGGGGCGGGGCCGGAATCGTAAAAAAGAGGTGATGATTAAAGTACAATATGGTATAACTGTAAATGTACTTAGAAAAAAAACATAACAGTTTTAAAAGTTAGTTGGATTGAAACTAAATCAATCTTTAAATTTATTTATACATTTATATACTCATTTTTTTAGTTAGATGAGGTATCCCACTTCTACAGCGTCCCATCTCAACATCCTCTTTAGATTTGCACGACTACATAGTGGACTGCTACGTTTGACGTCCTTATAAGGCACTTCAAGTGCCTTATAAGGACATCGCAGTGCCTTATAAGGATGTCACACGTAGCAGTCCACTATGTCGTCGTGCGAATCTAAAAGTCCCTTATATGGGCCTGTGAAAAAACGAGGTATTTCATGTGCATATAATTTGACAGGAATTGCCCCCAGCATGTGAATAATTTTGACAAATCAAAAAAATGCATTGGAACTGCGACCATCAGTTAGTGCGCCTGCATAATTATGTCCTAACTTTCGTCGCTTTAAAAAAAATGTTTTTTTTTAATTTTTAATATCAACCAAAATATAACAACATAAATACAAAATATCAAACATTCTTTGTTTGTTTTAAATGATATTTTATTTCCTTCCTCATAATTTCACATAACAAGAAATTATCACAATAAGTAATATAAAACAAGATTTTTGATACAAGACTCTTATGAATTACATCAATCACGGAACAACATAGAAAAAGCTCAGATTATACATGATTCTACTTTTTCTTTTCTTGCATGTAACAGTGGATAATCAAAATCCCTATGAATTTTCGTTATAGCGCCATCTGTGGTATGCAGCAGATATTCAAAATTGAGAAACATGGCCAAACATCATCCTGACCTTATTTTTTGTCGTAAACAGCCTGGTGTCGGTAAGTCGTTCTTACGTTTAACACCTTATTTACGTTTCATTGCAAAATAAGTTTAGTAACGATGTAATCAATTTAAAATACTTCTTGAAATTGCAGGATGAACCAGAAATAGAAACGAAAGTCTATCGTTGGAAATTTGTCTTCAGTCCGATCCCCTTATTTTGATGTGTGTTAATTCTGCTACTAATCTTACTTCCAAAACAAAAGCACACCAGCCACGCGCACCCAGAACCAGGGAAAAAATATTTTAATCATTTCGGGGGCTACTTTTCAAGCTCGCTTGCATGAAAATAATATTCTTTAATTTGTTTTGCATTGAACTCTTTGCAATTTTTTTGTGCTCTTTTAAGTTTTATGACTTTCGGGGGCTCTTTTTGGCATTTAATTTCTAGAGCTAATTTGCCCCGATCCCCCGTGTATTTTTTTCCCTGCGCAAAACTTAAAGCCTACATTTAACGCATCAGATCTCAGCAAATTGCAGAGTAATTTTACTTAATTGGCGCCGACAAGGGCCCTTCTTATTGGCTAACGCTGGCTCCCATTCACTCAATGTTTGTGGGAGGAGAAAGCTTGCGATTTTCCGTACGGCGATACTAAAATTATGATATTTCAGTCAAACCCTCTAGACTAGGCCTATCTCTTATCATTTTTTTCAGCATCCTTAAAAGGTTCAGTATTTCACATGTGCGTCAGTTATGTGTGAAGTGCGTCACCTGTTTAAAGCATGACATGTCAAAATCTCCATGCCCATGGTGTGACATACATGTAATTACGTATTGACATTGCCATCGTCGAACTCAACTAGTTGCGCTTAAGTTAAGTAGGCCCTCTCTCACCGCAAAGTTCTATGTACCAGCTGCAGTGCCAGTTAAACTCACATTAGATGAAGATGGAGAAATGCATTATGAGCCCCTACTCCCTAGTGGCCGAGAAACATTTCAATCGCTAGTTTTAACTGGTGAGATATTCCTGATAAAATCCAACTCCAAGTTGAATTTGAACTTTGAAGTTCAAAATTATGACAAAGTTATTTACAAATCCTGCTGATGTTTTAGGCCACCTCACCACAATGGCCAATGCTATTTTTTTTTCCACCAATACTTTTAGTCTTGGTACTCTCAGTAATCAAATTAGCCACAAAAACTTGGTCTCAATTATTAATTAACACAAGAAAAAGGGAATCATGGCCTGGGGGACCAACAGGCACAGAGTAGGCATTGTTTGCTATATAGAGGGCGCAAGTAGCTATAAGTAGTGCAGTGGGGCTTTAATTAGGACATTTTTTTTTTCATGATAGGGAGCGATTTTGGCGCTTGTTCTGAACTGTGACCATACTTTGGACCCTTGACTTTGGCGTGGAGATTCCTTACTATAACACACCAAAAGTCAACTAAGTCTTCCACAATATTGTTCAAATAACGGTCATGATTTAAAAGTTGTTATCTTTCTCACCTGTTTCATGTCAATTTTATTATCTTTCTTGGAGTATTTTTCCTAAAAACGAAGACATTATAATGACACTTTCTCCCAGGTTTTACTGCAAACATCCGCACTGGTCCCTGCCCTGGAGTCACTGCCCTGGAGTCACTGGTCCAAAGTGTGGTCACAGTTCTGAACAAACACCATGATTTTGGTTTAAGTGAAATGATGTTTCATATGAATGTGTATTTACTGGTTGTTATTCAATTTTCTTTACTGGTAATCGGTGCTATTTGCCAGTAAGATTTATTTATGAAGTGGCACATCCCGGGGAGGTTAACTCACTCAATGAAGAAAATCAAAGTCCATGACAAAATAAATATATTTCAAAAGATGGTTTCTTTTTTCTGCAAAATGCAGAGCATGATGAACAGATGAACTTCCAGCAAATGAAATCAAGCAAATGAAATCAAGAAGAATGTAAAATCTGCCTCTTAGAAAGATCTAAGAAGGACTTGCAAATTAGTTAGAAAACATGAGCAAATATTTACTTTGTGCTAGTGAATGAAGATAGAAAGGTAGAAAATCAACCCTGTAGTGTAGCCACGTTTTGCCCTTCCTTTCTCATGTCTAAAAGTGCCGCAGGAAGACACCAAAAATAGCTTGTCACTATGACAGTGCATCAGATTACTCCATGATGCCATACATGCCTATGTTAAAGGAGCTTTATTAATTTGTTGCAAATTTCATTTCCAGAGTTGTGTTTGTCTGCCTGCTCTCCTCGTAACTTACAAAATCCCATACACCGGTACTCTCTCTCTCTCTCTCTCTCTCTCTCTATTTCTCTATCTTTTTCCCTGAATAGTGCAAAGAGGCATATGATAAATTACTAAGCCGTTATAATTACCAATCATAACCAATGTGTTTGTTCTTTTTCTTACCCAACAGCTATTGGTAGACTATGTGAGAAGTGCGATGGGAAGTGTGTGATCTGTGATTCTTACGTGAGACCATGCACATTGGTGAGGATCTGTGATGAGTGTAACTATGGTTCCTACCAGGGCAGATGTGTTATCTGTGGAGGACCAGGAGTATCAGATGCTTACTACTGCAAAGAGTGTACTATACAGGAGAAAGATGTAAGTACGACACCAAGGTATATCTTATATTCTTATTGCTAAAGATAGTTCACCAGTCACCAGGCACAGATGCTAATTTGACACTTACACACAATCCCATGGAATTTTGAGCAGAGCCTACCTATGTCAGTCTCTGGCTGGGGAGCAGCTTGATTACATAGTCCGCATTCAGGGTGAACAACGTAGCCCCTTAGTTCAGACACTCTGAATCACAAATGACAAGGGGTTTGTGCCTGTCAACTATTAGTTCTCAGTGTGGGAGGAATTAAAAGACATTCTCTCTAATTCTTTTTTCGGGTATAAAACAAAACCGTACAAATGTTAATATTGATCTGTTGTTTTATCATTGTCACATATTGGTACCGTCTATCACAACTTTGTTGCTTGATAGTGGATTTTTGTTCAAATATTAGTTAAACAAGCTGACAAGAACAAGAAGCATTTCATGACATGCTCTTGTTGTTGAAAATGGATTTTTTTTTTTTCTCTCTTTCTCTCTCACACACTAAATGGTTCTGCTTTTAATATTACATGATAGATATGAATTTAATCAACAGTGCATATTTTAAGGATGTTGGGAAATGTTACTAAAATGCTTCATCCATGAAACACTAGAATCCAATAAATATGGTTATGAATAACTTATGATGTCATTCTGGTATAACACACACAATCGATGTCATTAAGATGAAACATTTAACACTTTATTGATTGTAACCTGAGGTTTATCCCCACAAAACCTATTTATTTGTGTCACTGTTGAACCATGAAATTCATTTCAAATGACAACTTCTATGTTTTATTATTTCTACTTGTATTACAGAGAGATGGCTGCCCTAAGATTGTGAACCTAGGAAGCTCCAAGACAGATCTGTTCTATGAGAGAAAGAAATATGGATTCAAGAAGAGATGATGTGATAGCGGACAAACCTTTGTAAATAATCTAAGTCTTGTAGCTATGTTGTTGATTATGGGTAGTTATGGGTAGTCTTGAGTCTTTGTGAGATGCTGAAACATAGCTGATAAATAAGGTACAGTGATGATTATTCAGGAACTGTTTCTCATTGTCACTCATTGAACTTCTCATCCTGGACTCAATCCTACCTAACCCTAACCCTTACTGAGACCTTATTGCAAGCCGAGCCCAAATAGCCGGACAGGCCTTATCTCATATACTTCAACACATACTAAACACCTTTCAGGCCATTCAAAAGACAATATGTGTTGAAAGTAAATCCTAGAACAAATATCAGATCACCAAATAAATGTGCTCTTCATGGAGGGACTTTAAACCCAGATGGCAGCTCACGTGATCAAGGAAGACAAGAAATGTGGTCTTTATAGGCAGGTGGTCTTTATTTGCAGGTGGTCTTTATTTACAGGTTCCTGTAGTACATGTTTCAAAGAGAAACCATTTTCAAGGGAAACCAAACATGTGGTCCTCCTATACAGGTGGTCACTAAAGCAGGTTTGACTGTATATGATAGGAAGTGAACCTTTCTTACTTATCATCACCTCTTTTACATACATGTATATTTTCTTTTGTTCTGGGAAATATATGTTTAATTTTATATTTTTTCTATAATTATTTGTTGTTATTATCATTTTGAAATTCTGTACCAAAACAATTCCCGATTCCAACCCACATCTGAGTAAGGAATAAGACCCAAGAATTATCTCTGAATGTGTTTAGGAGGAATTGAATTAAAACTGATTTGTCTGATTTTTCAATGACTGCATGTTTGTTTATCACCTAGAACCTGTATTGTTGTTTAAGTTAAAAAAAGAAATGAGATTTGTTACCCACACAGTCACTTGATAGACAGTTAAATTCACTTAGATCCCCCATCAAATCTCCTTTTTGGTTTGGGTCTTCACGTCTGATGAGATAGGGATCAATCATGTATGCATTGAGTGTTATATGCTGCCCTCTTTTGACAATATAGAGTACAACATATAGGCTTAACTTTACATTTTCTTGGGATCCCTTTTAAGTATTTTGTTATCTTGCTTTAATGGACTATAAAGATAATTATCATTAAGCTAGGATAAGTGAAGGTCTTGGGATCTAGCAATGATATGGAATCAAGTATTTACTCTTTAAATCCCGTCTGTACTGGTTTTGCCAGTAGGGATTAGACCACCCAGTTTGGTCACTGACAGGTGGCTATCTCATCAAATCACCTCTCAATTAACATAAGAAAAAGGGGATCATGGGGACCAATGGTTACCGGTTAGGCATTGTTTGCTATATATCGGGCACAAGTAGCTATAAGTAGTGCAGTGGGGCTTTATGAGGTGAATAAGGCATCAGTTACAATGAAAACCTGCCACTTGAGGAAAAACATACTTCTTTAAAACCAGAAATTCTTGTCGCTAACATGGCATGTTCTTAATTTTTAAATGTTTCGTGTCGCAATACTTTCTGGTTTTGCAGTAGTACTGTGAAGGTCTTTTGGGGAAATGTTGACATGATTTATTATATTTTTTATTGTTATTAAATTCAGTTACTCATACCCTAAGCCCTGTCGAGGGTTATCATAATCCCCTCGTCCAGACTTTATAAAGTGTAATTTAAAGATGAGATTAAGTATATGAATTTTTCAGCATAAATGGTCATCAATGGCTACTTTTAGAAAGAAGAATACCTTTATAACATTTAAAGGAATGAAAGTTATGGTATTTTAACATTCATTCATGAATCTCTGTTGGATGTTCACACCTGTACATGTATTTATAAGAAACGTTGCAAGCTTGTTCCAGCGTAATTCAATTATGTCTATCCCGGGAGTTACATTTATGTGTATCCATATGTGTCATCAGGAAAAGGGACATGTGCTTATAGCAAGAGAGGAATGATCATATTGTTTAATAGGCTATACCTGTGGTTCCATGTCTTTTTTTATTCATCTTTGCCTGTTTTGAAATTCCACTCTTGTTCCATTTATCATGATTATGTTAAATAGACTTGTTTCCGAGAAATATTATTTTTAACGTTCAGAACTTATTATGCTTTCAGCTGTTCATTGTTTCACACACTCATGATCCATAACTAAAGATGAATAATCTTGTTTTCTGTCTTGTACATTTTTAATAAAAGCACTGGAAATGACATGATGTTCTATATATTTTTAATGTATGTCAAAGTTGCTTGTCATGTTTCTATCCTCTTTTCTGCTCATTTGAACACACACACACACACACACACATTCTGTCACTTTGTCTATCGCTCATAATATCTGTCTATCTTTCTTTCATACTTTATTTTCTCTCTCTCTCTCTCTCTCTCTCTCTCAACTTACTGACTAAGCTGTTTTTACAAGAACAACACAAATAGACTGAAAAACGATGGGAAAGAGGAGGAAGAAAAAGAGAGAGAGATAGATGAGTGAAAGAGAAAAGGGGAAAAAGACTGGGACAGAGACAGAAAGAGAGTGAGGTGGAGACAGACAGACAGACAGAGGAAGAGAAAGAACAAGAGGGGTGGAGAGAGACGGACAGAGAGAGACAGACAGATGAAGAGAAAGAGTGAGGTGGAGAGAGACAGATGAGGAAGATAAAGAAAGGGAGAGAGAAACAGACAGAGGAAGATAAAGGAAGAGAGGGAGGTGGAGAGAGACAGACAGACGGAGGAAGAGAGTGACAGACAGGAAGAGGGAGGTGGAAAGAGACAGAAAGAGAGGAGGGTGAAGAGAGACAGAGGAAGAGGAAGAAAGAGAGGGAGGTGGAGAGAGAGAGACATACATACAGAGGAGGAGAGAGAGAGAGGGGAACTGAAGAGAGACCAGACATACAGCGGGATAGAAAGAAAGAGAGGGAGATGGAGAGAAACAAACAGCGGGAGAGAAAGAAAGAGAGTGAGATGGAGAGAGACAGAGGAAGAGAAAGAAAGAGAGGGAGTTGGAGAGAGACAGACATACAGCAGGAGAGAAAGAAAGAGAGGGAGAGACAGACGTATGTAGAGAACGAAAGAGGGAGATGGAGAGAGACATACATACAGAGGAAGCGAAAAAAAGAGGGGGGGGGGGATTCAGTGAAGGTAATTCTGATAAGATAATTAGAGATAGGTGGCATTCCACAGACCAACTGAACCGAAATTATTTATAAAGATATTGAATGTATAACATAGTCAACTTGTACTGGATGGGAAAATCGTAACATGTAATTAAAGCTTCTTATAACGTGCTAAATGTCTAACCTATGAAAAAGAAGAGAGAGAGAGAGAGAGAGAGAGAGAACAAAAAGGATTACGAAAGTAGTTTTTAAAATGCATGAAACATTGTGTTATAAATGTATATAATTAAGTGCATGGTCAATATAAGCCTACATGACGTACTACCTTGGGACCAATATTTGCCGCTAAGCCTTGTTATATATACCTTTTCATCAGGATTTCATAACGTGTTTTGATGAAAAGAAGTTCAGACTATTGACGAATGCAAACGTCATACCGGCACGCGTAACGTACAGCAAGGATTATAGCTTGGAGTAGTGTAAATGTCAATTCTTACAGCAATTTCATATTCTTTCAGGTAAACTTGCACTCAATTTTTCGGAGGAGCTACAGTTCTGCTTTTTCATAAAATGGCTTATTGAAAGAAATTAAGGCATTACAAGTTTTTTTTCTCTCTCTCTCTCTCTCTCTCTCTCTCTCTCTCTCTTCTCTTCTTCTTCTTCTTCTTCTGGGATACTCCTCAACGTTCCGTTCTCTTGCTCCCTGTCTCTCTGTTTCTCTCTCTCTCCCTCTGTTTCTCTCTACCTCCCTCTCCCCCCCCCCCTCTCTCTCTCTCACATTCTCTCACACTCTCTCTCTCTCTCTCTTCCTCTTATAATTAATAATTGCTCCTGCGTGACACAATTCTTTAATCATCTAGCACTGTTATTATCCTTCACACGATATCCACATTGAAATCCATCTCGAGTCCCTCACCAAACCTTACCTCCTACCTAACACCGTCATCATCCTTTACTTGACCTCCTCATTGTAGTCCATCTCGAGTCCCTCATCAAATCATACCTCCTACTCAACACCGTCATCATCCTTTACTCGACCTCCACACCGTAGTCCATCTCTAGTCCCACATCAAACCATACCTCCTTCTCAACACCGTCATCATGCTTCACTCGACCTCCTCATCGTAGTCCATCTCGAGTCTCTCATCAAACCATACCTCCTACTCAACACCGTCATCATCCTTCATTATACTTCCTCATCGTAGTCCATCTTGAGTCTCTCAATACTTCCTTCCCACCACCGTCATCTACATCAATTCATTCCTCTCTTGCTATTATTTCTATATTGTTTATCACACGATTGCAAACAAATAATAACTAGATACTCGACAAATGGAGCATGCGTCATTTTCCCGTCTTTATATAAACCCCTATGTAATCTCAACCCCTAGGTATATTTGTGTTGTTTGTGTGAAGGGATGCAGACTAATTGGACATGCTGACCGCCGATGAGAGAAGAGTGTTGGGTAATACGAAGAGAGCTACATGTCAACATCGTGCATCATAAAGCAATGAAATAAGTAGTTTTCACAAGGTTATCAAATGAAAAGATGCATTTTTCTTCATTTACTATCCATGTTAAAGACTATATAATAATAATACTCAGTTTTTATATAGCGCTTATTAGAATCACTAAGCGCTTCCAAACTTGGAGATTATTACCCCGGCTTTACTGCGGCTGTGCTGCTATTACGACGCTCTAGCATTTCAAAGAATGGATCCCTACAAGTCATCTAACAAATGATGGCATGTACTGTGAAGGACTTTAAGAAGAAGTTAGGCCAAAAAGAACACGAACACACTTTATTTCCCATTCCTGTATGACCCTCTTTAAAATCTGCCTTTCTGTAAAACATAAACCATTTCGATAAACTATTATTTTGAATACACTATTAAAACTGCTGAATAAAACTGGTAAAAACTGCCCAACATTTAAGGACAGTTTAGACAGTCATGTCTGACCATCATTTTGGCATTTGTGCAATGCCCAGCCAATTTCACGTTCATTTTTTATTCCAATATGGGCAACAATCATCCGTGTTGAGCTATTATTGCCCCAAAGTTGGTCAGACTCGTTCATACATTTACGTTGGATACGTTTTTGTTGTTGTTTTTTGCAGTAATGTTTTACATCATATACTACCATTCTAACCTGATCAACGACCAGATGATTGACAAAGAGCATTAATCCCTTCGTTACTAAGCAACACGCACTCTACTTCTAATGCCATTTTAATTTTGAGGCGTTTGTATCGAAAATGTAAGGCACCGCAGCCATTATTAGACAAGCGGCGGACTTTTCT